CCACTTGTTATAGTCATCTTGTATCAATCTATTTTCAAAAAAAGAAAAAAAACAATCGTGTATCAATCAATAAATGTGGGGACCGTAAAATTATTTTAATGGGCTATTGTCATGTAAGTCTCGTCACTTGTTATAGTCATCTTGCATTAATCTATTTTTAAAAAAAGAAAAAAAAATCGTGTATCAATCAATAAACGTGGGAACCGTAGAATTATTTTAATTAGCTCTTGTTTAATAAGTCTCGCCACTTGTTATAGTCATCGTGTCTCAATCTATTTTCAAAAAAGAAAAAAAAAAGACAATCGTGCATCAATCAATAAATGTGGGGACTGTAGAATAATTTTAATGGGTTATTGTCTAACAAGTCTCGTCACTTGTTATAGTTATTGTGTATCAATCTATTTTCAAAAAAAGAAAAAAACAATCATGTATCAATCAATAAATGTGAGGACCGTAGAATTATTTTAATGGGTTATTGTCTAATAAGTCTCACCACTTGTTATAGTCATCGTATATCAATTTATTTTCAAAAAAGAAAAAAAATAATCGTGTATCAATCAATAAATGTAGGGATTGTAAAATAATTTTAATGGACTATTATCTAATAAATCTCGTCATTAGTTATAATTATTGTGTATCAATCTATTTTCAAAAAAGAAAAAAACAATTATGTATCAATCAATAAATGTGAGGACCGTAGAATTATTTTAATGAGCTATTGTCTAATAAATTTCACCACTTGTTATAATGATCATGTATCAATTTATTTTTTTAAAAAAATCATATATCAATTAATAAATGTGGAGACCGTAGAATTATTTTAATGGGCTGCTGTCGAAGAAGTCCCACCACTTGTTTGCGTCATAGTCTATCGATCAATAAATGTTGGGACTGAAGAATTATTATTATTATTGTTATTTTAACATGATTACATCATTTGAGAAAGGAGAAATGGGTTGATATCGATCCCAAAACTTATAAGAAGTCTTATGCGGAGATCTATTACTTGCTTTACCCAGAATTCTCGGGACTGAAGAATTATTTTAATGGATTGGTATCTAGTAAGTCTCATCACTTACTAAAGTCACAATCTATCAATAAATAAATATGAGGATGGAGCAATAAAAAATTAAGGTGTATTGATGTTCAAAACATTTATTATAATTATTGATTTCATAAATCTCAATTAAAAATTCATTTATTTGATAATTATGATAAACATTTTAATGCTAAAACATCTTTTTTTTTTTCTTGATTTCCATATTTTTCACACGAGACTTATAAAATTATTTTAGTGGACCATGTGAGCCGTCTAATAACTATTGCCACGTGCTGGAGCCTTGGTCCACTTGAGGAGCAACTCTTTTTCTCTTTTTGGAAAGTAGTGGTACGTTGTTATCCTGGGGAATTGGTGGAGGTCAGCTGGGGGGTTTGAGTTTTGAAAACTTAAAAGTTTGGTCCTTAAATTTTATTTTATTATTTTTATTCTGAATAGTTTTATTATTATCTCATTTACTTTTTTATTATTTAATATTACTT